AACTAATATAATTATAAAAGTATAGACAAGCAAGTAGTAACCATAAATATAATAATAAGTTTCAATAGTTTCAATATTATTGCCTACTCATCACTACTATCATTCTCCTCAACATATGTTTCTATGTTTTCTTCTTCTGATGTCTCAAAATCTTCCCATTCTCCTTTTTCATCCTCTTCCCCAATCCCCTCCCCAACATCAGCTTCTTCATGTATTTCAATAAACCTCCCATCAGAATATTGCACAAGTTCATAAGCAATGTCATCAATATTTATTTGTTGAGGAATAGGAGGCTCATCGTCTTGGAAATATGGTGTCAATCATTCTTGTTAGTCATCTTTATTCTCAAGAGCCTCAATGATACTCCTAGCTTTAATTTTAAGTGCAACAATCCATCCCTTTCTTTCATGATTAATAGATGGGTATGGTGTGTAATAAACTTGCCTTGCCTAACTAGCAAAAACGAAATGCTCATAAGATCGAAGGTATCTTCTAGGATTAATGTCAACCAATTGATGTTTTTGATCCACTTGAACCCCTTGAGCAGGAGGAATCTCGTACCAATCACATTTGAATAAAATAACTACCTATCGATGGATCAATCCATAATACTCAATTTGAATTATTTGTTGAAGCACACCATAAAAATCATAATCTGATTTAGTACCAATAGATCCAACAACACAGACATCATAATTCATTATTCGCTTATTTCTACCATAAAGGGCAGTGTGAAATCAGAATCCATTGACAATATATCCATTATAGCAAGAAACATAATTTTTTAGATTGTTGGATAAACCTTTGATATGCTCATGGACATTAATGAACTCATCACTAATTACCTAAAATATATAGATTGCAAAAGAAAATGTTAGATGCATTTGAAGAGAAATAACATGTATATGTTAAGGAATTGAATAGTCATATTATTAAATACTCACAGCTTGTTCAAACCAGGGCACAAGGTCTCTCTCTCGTTTAGCTTGAATTTGTTGAGGATTCATATTTTGACATTGTTCTCTCTCAAATAAACTAAAAAATATGATAATAGTTTTTTATATATTGTTAGTATTTTAATTTCAATAAATCTTAATATAACAAATTAAAGATTTTAGTGTAGGTTTTTTACCTGACCCATCCTCGCAATTCTTCGCAATTCATTAACACATAATATGAAGCAGCTTTTCATTCCTCTACCGTCAAGCAACGTCTTCCAATTTTGGAACAAATACGTTTTCCAATACATTTAAAGATGGATAGGCCACTATTATCACCAAATCCAACAACAATATTCCTAGGGGGATTATCAACTGTACTATGTACTCCATCATCAAAGTAATGAGAGATAAAATTTGTGATCTCAGATATTATGTAACTTTCACATATGGATGCTTCAGGACGCGCTTTATTTTTCACTGTCAACTTAAGACATGCATTCGCCTGATTCACCAAGAATGAATATATAATTATGTTATGATTAAAATACTAATTTGGTACCTCAACTTCTAAGTTTATATCAAATATACCCTTAAAATTTTAAAAAGTTTCAAAATGGTCCTTGAAAGGACCATTTTTAATTCTTTTTTAAGTTCAATGGTAGCTTTGATATAAAATTGAAAGTTGAAGTACCAAATTGGTATTCTAACCTCAATGCAACAAAATATCATATATGGAGTTATATTTATTTTCATATATTATACATTAATTATATTTACTTTTCAAATGGATACATCCATCGAAATTGCACTAGTCTTCCTACACGAGCCTCGTATGGAAGGTGGATTGCAAGATGCTCCATACTATCAAAGAATGAAGGTGGAAAGATTCGCTCTAGCTTACAAATGATTTCTATTGTCCTTTCCTACCATATTGCCATGTCATTGACCTGAATCACTAAAGCACACAAGGCCCTAAAGAACTCACTAATCTCAACAAGTCACTCCCAAACTTGTTTTGGTAATAAATCACGAAATGCAATTGGTATAAGGCTTTGCATGAAAATGTGACAGTCGTGACTTTTCACACCGAATAATCATGCCTCTTGTGTATTGACACACCGAGATATATTGGAGGCAAATCCATCAGGGAATTTAAGTTCCCTCAACCATTGACATATTAATTTTCTTTGATCCCTACTAAGAACATAAGTGGCCTTTGGCTTTTTACTCGAATTCACTCCTGTTTTCGGTATGTGCAGACTTTTCCTTTTACAATATAATTCTAGATTAAGTCTTGCATTTATGTTATCTTTTGTCATAGGATCATCCATTACCGTATGAAGGATATTGTCAAAAAAGTTTTTCTCATAGTGCATGACATCTAAATTGTGTCGAATCAAGTTTGTGTGCCAATATGGTAATTCCCAAAATATGCTCTTTTTAACCCAATTGTGCACTTCACCAAATCTCTGGATTTCCTGTTTTTGAGGTGGCTTACCAAATAGTACATCAGGCAACCAATGGATGCGACTATGCATCTCATCACCAAACAATCTCTCTGGCATGGTTCCATTCTCTGTACGACCCTTTATGAAGTCATTCTTGTTTCTTCTAAATGGATGATCCAGTGGCAAAAATTGTCGGTGACAATCAAAAAATGATGTCTTCCGACCATGTTCCAACCAAAAGGCCTTCGAATTTTCCATGCAATAGGGACAAGCTAATTTATCATGTCTGCTCCACCCAGACAACATTCCATACCCAGGTAAGTCACTAATGGTCCACATAAGTGCAGCCCTCATCAGAAAGTATTGACACTTAAAGTTGTCATAAGTTTGGACTCTAGAATACCAAAGCTGCTTTAAATCATCGATTAGTGGTCGAAGCATTACATCAATATTCTTTCCAGGACTTTAGGGACCTTGGATAATCAATAAAAGGAATACATATTCTTGCTTCATGCACATTGTTGGAGGCAGGTTATAAACTGACACAAATACTGGCCAACAAGAGTATGGAGATGCAAAATGTCCAAAAGGAGTGAACCCATCAGTGCACAGACCTAACTTAACATTCCTCGGTTCACTAGCAAACTCAGGGTGAGTGCTATCAAAATGCTTCCACGCCTCTCCACATGCAGGATGAAAAATTTTCTCATTTTCATTATAACAATTTAAATGCCAGGTCATATGCTTGGCAGTTTTCCTAGACATATACAATCTCTAAAGTCTAGGAATAATTGGAAGATACCACAAAGACTTTCTTGGTATAGGCTTAGCAGAATGCACATCATGCTGCTTAAATCATGGCTCTTCACATACCGGGCACTGTAAATAACACTGACTTTCATATTCTCCATAATACAAAATGCAATTGTTCACACAAACATCATACTTTTTATACCGGGGACCCAGACGCCTCAACATCTTCTTGGCACTATAATAATTTGTTGGTAATTTCTCCCTATCAACTTTTTTGAAGGCCATTAGACTACGCTTTAGCACATAGTCCCAATTAGTAACAAAAAATGTTTTTGCACTCATGAGCTCACACACCCAGTTTAAGACAGTGATACCATCATCACACCCTTTAAAAGGAGGTGTATCAGTTGCTCGCAAAAGATCAAAGAACTTTTTTGCATCTCCTCCTAGCTCCTCAAATATCGATTCTATACTAACACCATATGGATCATCAAAACTAGCATGAAATTGTGTTGCATCTTCTACCCCTGTGGCACTATTTTCATTATTAAAAAAGTTTGGTCCCATGGCATCATGAAGCATGTCTCTGAGTTGATCGACACTTGGAATATTATTCATAGCAACAGCAGCAGCAGCGGCACTTGATGATTCACCCGCTTCGGTGCAAAACCGTTTTCTATGAATAATTTCTCCGTGTCTTTTCCAAATAAAATACCCATCCATGAAGCCGTTCTTAATAAGATGAGATTGCACTTTGCGTCGATGATGCCATTCTCTATTCTAACACTTACTACACGAACACCGAATCATATTCTTTACACAAAACATCGAGTCCATTTGTGAGAATGCAAAATCTAAGAAAATCTCTACCCAGCATTAAATTCATTGTTCCAATACCCCATTTCATCTCGACGACGATACATCCAACTCCGATCTTCTCCCATAATTAAGTAGTACGTGCCTTAAAAATTCAATAATATCTTAATATTATATAATAAGCACTAGAATCATAAATATCAATTTTGGTCCATCAACTTTATGATTTTACACAATTTTCATCCCTCAACTATTTTTTTGCTCATATTGGTCCTTTAACTATAAATAATGTACATTTTTAGTTCTTCTGTCAATTAAGTTTCTTTAGCACATTGATAAAAGGACTAAAAATGCAAATTACTCATAATTGAGGGGCCAAAATGAGCAAAAAAAAGATAAGGGATAAAAATTATGTAAAATCTTAAAATTGAGGAATCAAAATTAGCATTTATCTTTTTAAAATTACATATGCTACAATAATATATATAATTACATTTTTAACCAACTAAAAATCTACCTAATTTAATTCATCTTTATAATTAATTAAAAAATTAT